TCCAAGCTGTTCCAATAAAATCCAGTTCAACAAACTGATAGACACAATTCAGACAAAGATTTTAAAACAAATTTTATTGAAAATAATTTTGATACAGCGGTTCATGATTCTTTTAAAATATACCTGAAGTTAAACAAAATGTATACATGAATGTGTGAAAGTAGAAAAAAGTGAAATATACATTCTGGATTTTTTTATATTGCACTTGGGCAAATCATAGCGGCTTACCTTAACATCATCAAGCCACATCACAACATCTCAAATGTGATAGTGTACACAGATGGTTTTGGAAATGCCATGATGCCATGATCTTCACCAAAGGATCAAACCCAAATCCTTGACCCTACGTTTAAAAATCCTTAAAGATAGGAGTGCAAAGTGTTGTAGGGGTGTTTAGAATATCAAGAAGAGATTTGGCAATTTTTCCATTCACAGTATTTCCAATATAAGATGTCCATTCTGCTTATTTATCAAATTCAGGAGGTTACAGAAACTATCACATGGGAAAACATATCATTGAATTTGCTACTATTTGAGAAAGCAATGAACTTATTGGACAGAGTATTGACAGAATATGCCTAGTTCAAAACAGATTTTTCATCGAGTGGTATACAATACGTAATACATAACCAAAACTCAAATGCTAAAATTCAAAACAAAACCTTTTCCCCTACGAGTATAAAGTGGAAGTTTTATAGTGGAAGCAACAATGAAAACAGATTTAAAAATGAAGAAATAGAGGTATGTTTTACCAAAATGTAGTATTTGGAGGGGGACAAGAGAAAAAAGGTACAAACTATTCCAGGAATATTTAATTCACTTAATGATTACATGTTGTTTTTATAGAAGCACCTTCAAGAAACCTCTGAAAGAGTTTTGGATGACAATACACATGGGGATAAACTAGAAGACATATGTAGGTCCTTTAAGTAATATGAATATGGCAATTCTCCATAAAAACAAAGGAGACTGTGGTTTGTAATGTAAATATGCAAAATACAAAAATTCAAGTGACCCAGGTTGCAGCCTGAGTTCTGCCAATTCCTTTCCAACAGTATGCAAGATGGGTAACATTTGTATACCTGCACTGTTTGTGTACTGAAAAGAATGGACAGCTCACAAGGATACTTGCAGGGGGTAAAAGTCACTTATTTGTGCAAAAATGGCAAAAAAAAAAAAAAAGCTGAGATGTCTTCCGTGACACATAAATTACTGATCTTACTTGTCTATAATGCTTACTTTTGTATCTGCTACTATCTACAATAGGTACTCACTATTTAGCTAGACATTTAGTAAGCATGTTAAGTATAAATTCATATTAACTTTGGGGATAAAATGATGTAAAGACAAAGAAAGACATTCTCCTTTATAAGCTTTCCAACATCAAGATCAAAATTACAAATACTAAATTTTCAAAGTTATGGTGATAGCATAGATTTATATGAAACAGATTTCATTTTGAAAAGATATATATATATATTTATGTGTGTGTGTGTATATATATATATATATATATAAAATGTACAAATCCTGCTTATCTTTTTCCTGCAGCACAAAATTATTTTTACTTCTTGGAAGACAATAAAGTAAGTTCAGTTTCTTAATAAAGTAAACAAGAGTTCAGTTCCTCATACTGACACAGAGGGCACTATCTTGATTCATTCAATCTCTTAAGCAGCTTACTTCAAATGCCAATAAAATTTTCTACTACTTTTTTTTTTAATGGTCTTAAAAGTGTTTGAGAAATTCTGATTACTCTTTTCAGCCTGCATAGTTTTACATAAATGGCCAAAATAGAAAATAAGCATAAGAGTACAGAAAGAAGAAATGAGTTTAAATAATTTATAACAACTGTTGCCCAACATTAATTCTGTCACGGTAATCCATTTGTTGGGTTTTTAGGAGCGTATCTTTAGATCTGCTATGTCCTGGATCTTGAAAGTACTGTTGAATGACATACATAAGACAGAGTAGTTGTTAAGAAAAAGTGCTGGATTTGGATTTGGTGCTCTATCCCAAGCAAGTAACTTAAAATTCTCTTGATATAACTTCATCTAAAAGGAGATAAGAATTTCTTCCTCATGTTATGAGAATTTGAAAATATATTTGAAAATGCACTGTTAATAAAAGTCATGCAAAATTCACTCACTCTTTATAGAAATGTGTGGATTAAATGTGATAATATGAGAAAGGCCATGATGTGCATGGCACATCAATACTGAATAAATGTTATTCCCCACCCTTGTTTTCTGTATAATCTGCAGTTAGGAAATGTTAAACATAAACCTAAGATACCCTCATCAAAAAGGCTCCCATCCATTTGGCATTTAAATAGAACTATACTTCTCTGCTCCTTTTCTGCAAACACTTTTTGGTGCATTAAAATTTTTCATTGTCTTTGTCTTTGAGTCTCTTGATTCTGTGGTGGGGATCTGAATCACTATGGCTTTTGGAGAATAACATCTTGAAACAATCTTCTACTGATAAAACTTGTAATGAATCTTTTTCAAAAGATAAAATTTCCATGGTTCTGTGAATTAGAAAATAATTTATTTGAAAAAATGGTGACTTTTGTGTAAAAAAAAAAAAAAGCTTAATTTTCCCAAGATAATGCCTTAATGAAAAACTAGAAGTAGTGGCTTAACATATGAAATTCTACTAAGATTTCAAAACTTTACCCTACTGAATTGAAAGATTTCTTCAATATATTTAATGCCCTTTTTAAAAACAGCTCCAAGGATTTTAAAAACAAAAAGCTCTCCAGTGATTGAAATGCAAAGTGGCAACACAAAATGCTATAATCTGTGAATTCACATGGTTTTTAAAAAGTACCAGTTCACAATATAAACAGAAAAGGAAACTAAGAAATCCTTAAACTGGATTGAATCTTGGGAAATTAACAGGTACATTTGCTGACAGAAGTATCCATTGTAAAAATGTCTTCATTTTTTTAAAAGGAATTAGTTCCACAAGTAAAAAAAAAAAATATAGAAAATCTAATTTCATAATTAGATATGAAAAAATGAGACAAAATTACATTTATAAAGTGCCTTAATGTACCAAAAATGTTTGTTGGATATTCTTTATTTACAACTGTCAGTCACATTTACAGAAAAGCAAATGTCATACTAGAGAGGCAGCACAATAAAGAACTCTCAACTCAAGAGTCAGAAGATCTAGATCTAAATTCTAATCTTGGCTTTGCCACTAAAGATCTCTGAGCCTTGAGTAAATAACAGCTTTTCTGGGCTTCAGTTTTCTCATCTGTAAAATGAGAGGTAGAGCTACATTGCTTCTAAGCAAAGCCCTCACTTAGATGTAAAATTTTGTCAAGTAATGTAATGTTATTCTTAAATCCCAACATTATATATCAAGGTGTTACCATACCGATATTTGTAAAAATTGCTTATTCTGTAAAAACATTACAGAACTCTGGTCAGCTGCATTTTGAGTTAATGATTCGGCTGCTTTAGAGAGGTACATAAAAGTCACAGTATTTTGGTTACTGGTAAATATGTGTAGGCTTTGAAAAATGCTAAAACATTTCAGACAAAGTGAAATCATAATACCAGTGACACCTGTTACCTCTTTCTTATGCCTCCACTGCAGAAGAATGGTACATGTGACAGCATGAGGAATAGTAACCTACAGATAAACTAGATACTGCCCTTCACCAAGATGCACAGGGAGTTAGCAAACTAAGGAAATTATGCATAAGTCCTTCATCTTCAGTAATAAAATGAATTTTAAAAGACACAAGTAGTATGGGTATATTTCTGTTTAGGAAAGCTTACCCAGCAAAGAAACTTTTCCTGAGTAATACAAATTTGTTGTCTAGAGAACATTCTGGTTTTTGAAACACTGGCAAATTTATACTCAAATATGGATGGTTTCTGTTTTGCAAGAGCCTAATGCTAAAGACAGTCTAAATTTATAACCATAATCAGGTGGTATTTCTCAGTGGAATATCTATTTTAGTAATATACCTGTGCCAAGACCACTGATAAGCAATTATTTTCTGTGAGAAAAAAAAATTTTTCTTTTCTGCTGTATACACAGGTATACTGACATTTAATTAAAGCATAAATGTTAATGCCAACTTGCTCAATGAGATGAGCTGGAAATTTCTTGAAACAGTACAAAATTAAGAGTTTCATATCCAATACTTACCAAAGGGGAAAAAGCATATTCATGAATTTGTGCATTGAGGATACAATTAAATAAAGTAATATACATATTTTGACAAAAACTTCACTTGGAATGGAGGGCTCAGCTTAAGGCAGAACTGGATCTTCAGAATGCACTGATAAAATTTACAAACCAGTGCAATTATCTCCATATGTGAAATGTCAGGATAGTTACATATAATTAGTTTGTAAAGGCATACATCCAAAATCTCTGCCTTCATCTAGACCTGTCATTTTCTGTAATATGCCAAAACCCACAGACTGATTATCCCAGAGTTCTATCAGACTTGGTAGTGGTTCAAACTTCCAAATGACTACTTACACTTGTAATGAAAAAGCAATACTAGTAGACCACATTTCCTTCTGTACTTTCCCTCCTAAAGGACCTTTTTCAATTGAACACAATCTACTGCAGGAATTCTTAGCTTTCAAACTACCTGGAAGTGAGCAAACATGTCTTGAATGATCAGTTAATGGTAATCTGTAGCAGTTTTTAAAAGCATGAAGAAAATGGTGTAGTTTTTCTAATATAAAATATCATAAACACAGTATCATGAATGATGGATCAGAAGTAGGGAAAAGATATTCTAAAACCTATGCAAAATCAATAATGATTTTTGCCACTTTACTGAATGTACTGATCTATACTCTTCTCTACAATCATTGTTGCTCCACAAGATTCCCCCCTCAACAATTTCAGTGTTTTAAAGTAAAAGGGAATATATGTTGTGATAAAAGGAAGTACAATGGGAAAATGTTTATCCAAATCAGTATCTCTTCATTAGAGAATACTTAAGTAGCGCGTTGAAGCACTTGTGTCAAATTGCAATTTTATTTTTCAAACACACAAGAACCTAGAAATAAGCTTATCTTGTACTTCTAAGACACCTGTGTTAGGAAGAGTTGTACATCACCACATTTGCTCCGTACCTTAAATAGTTCCAACTCAATCAAATGCTGTATAATATTCCTGAAAGCAATCATTTGTGCAAAGTTAAAACAGGAAAACAAACTGTATAATTTGACATTTGAAGATTGAAAATGCACATTAATGCTATGACAACCGTTTCTGCCTTCAGTCTACTGCCTTTTCCAAACATTAATAAAATTCACAAAAATGACAAGGAGAGCTATTGGAAAATTTATCATAAACACAGTATCTTTACAGAAATTTGGAAATTAGCAAATGTTTTAGGTCAAAACAATTTTGTCTGGAACAGACATTTGCAAAGTTTTGAGAATCCACTCCACAAAGTAATTTGATGTGATTATTGAATTTGTTTTAAAAAGGAAAATAATACCTTTTATTTATTTTTTTTTGATGAGATAAAACAATAAAAAGAAACTTCATGTATCTAAACCAATGCTGGAAGTACACAAAAAAAGACTGGTATTCTAAGCAAGAGTCATGTTTTGTACAGATTACAGAATATCCATTTAAAAAAACACATACATGACCTTTGTTGGTACATTTCTATGCTGGCAAATACATTTTCTGATACAAAGGCACTTTGAAAACCCAATATGGTTTGGTTCATAAGTTTGCAAGGTACAAACAATTTTACAAACATATGATTATACTGAAGAACGTCAACAACTGTGACATTACATATAAAACATATTTCCATTTCTTTTTAAATAACACTGGTTTTGTGGGAATAAAAGCAGTGGTTCCAGCAGCTTCAGTGAAGACATTCCAGATGACTGGAAGCCCACAGTCTGAATCTCATCAGCTGGGATGAGGGACAGGGAAAGGGCATTCAGGAAACCCCCCTCCCACTCCCTGATGGGGGAAAAAAGGACAAATCAACCCTCTAAAACAAAACCAAAAACCTCAGAAACCAGAATGGCTTGGAGGGAAGAGCACAAATGACAAGACCAGCAGTCCAGGAGATATCCTCTTAATTATAGTCCCTTAGTGGTGAACTCCCCACAGAGCACAAACGGCGGACTCTACCTGGTCTTCATGGTGCTGGGGAATTGTAGTGATGAAATCTCTATTTAGTACAATGTTTTGAATTGTACAGTACCAGAAAAATTTGGTTAAAAAAAAAAAGAGAAGAAAAGAAAAAAAAATTCTTTTCATTTACTACATGGCTGCAAAGTCAATCTGTACATAAAGCTGTCTCACTCCAGCCTGAAAAGTTGAAAAAAATAAAAATTAGATTATCAAGCCAATAACAGACTATACACTTCAGAAAAGTAATAAAAAATTCAATTAAAAAAACAATTGTTTTTCTTTCCTGTCTCTGGGAAATAATTATTCATATTTTATCATAAATCACCAGAAAATTATATCAGAAACAATTACATTTGTAAGTTGTAAAACCATTGCCAAAAAGCATACTACCAGTCACAAGTGATATCAGAAAAATGAGGTTACTCATCTACATTTCTGTTGAAGAACACCATAATGCTTGACTGGTTAGCTACTACTAAAATCCAGTCATCTCAGTCTAATCTTCCCATGGTAAATGGTCAACAAGAATATGTAATAAGTATAATCACTTACTAGTTATTTAATTATTTTATGCTTCAACTCTTCTGTTTAATTTTGGATATATACTTACTGCTCAAGAATATTGCTCTTTAAATTTTCCCCCATCTCTTCCATGCTATCAATTTTCCTTTCTCAACTGGATCATTTTATTAGCATACAAATACACTATAATTTCTTCTACCTTTAAAAAACCCTTTACTTTACCCTACATCCCCTTTGGGTACAGTTCCAATTCTGCTCTTCTGGATAGCAAAAATCCTCAAAAGAGTTGTCCATATTTGTTCTTCTATGGAAGTCATTTCAACCAAACTTTTATTTCCCATCACTTCCCCCTAAAGGTCATCTCCAAGTTGCTCAGACCAGTGCTTAATTCTCAGTCCTTATCTTACTATTCAACTTACAAGCAATAGTACAGAAGACCACTCCTCTCCTACTAAACACTTTCCCTGCTCAGGGCTTCCAGAGAAAACTCATAGGTTGCCCTTTAACCTCACTTATCAATCTTTCTCAGTCTCTTGTTGATTCTTCCTCCTATCTTTGAACATTAGACACTGAAATACCCAAAGGCTCAGTGCACAGAACCATTCTTTTTCTGTTCTGGTTCTCTAGATGATCAAGTACCAGTTGTATGCTCACTTCTCAAATTCATATTTCTAGACTGTAACTTATACCTATTCCTCAGTTCCCTAAGCCCAGAGGTCTTAAAATGGCATACACAGCCCCAACATAATCTGATCCCTGATTGCCTCTGCTCTGATTCCTCTTCTACCCCCAACTGTTCACTAGGCCTCAGCCATACTGACTCTTCTATATTCCTCAAGATATTGACATGATATCCTCATGTTACATCCCTATTCAGACATCAGCAAGGCCTATCTTCACCATCTTGTGTGAAACACATTTATCATGCATTTATTGTATCCCATGTAGTGTTCTATCATCTAGGAATATAAAAGTGACAACAACAACAAAAATCCTTGCCCTCAAAGTTTATATTTTATTGAGGGCCTGGTGGGGAGAAATGATGAACAAATATGCAAGGAAATACAATATGTGAGACAATACTACATATGTCATGGAGAAAAGAACACTTGGAACAGAGGAGGTAAGCGCCTCAAGCACTGACAGTCTCTCACCCTTGCTCCTCACCCAACATCTCATCACTCATCACCTGGTGACATATTATACCACTTAATTATTCACTGTGCTTATTACTCTTGTTCCCCCACCATTAAAGAATCTCTCCTAGAGAAAGGATTTTATCTTCTTTTGTTCATCCCTCACTCCCAGAACCTGGCACACAGTAAATGCAGTCAGAAAAAAAGTCCTTTCTTGTTGGTACCTTAGGTAAACTGAAATATTTAAAGTAAAGGACCCCCCCCCCAAAAAAAAAGAAAGAAAGAAAAGAAAAACAGAATGTGGGTGGGTGGTGGGGGTGACACAGACTACCTTACAGTAATTTCTGCGCTCCTTAAAACACTGCTTTCACATATCTCCCCTCACCTCAACCCTTGACATCCAGAGAAGGATCTGAGCAACATCAAACAAATGCTTTAGGAGTCAGGACCCACCCAGAGCTGGGGAGGCACTGCTGGACAGACCCTAGAAGCTTGCCAGGACAGAAAACATGCTTTTGGGTTTTCTTTATTTGCCTCATTATAAAAAAAAAAAAATTCCTGTGTAAGTCTAAACTCTGTTATTCAAACTTTGAGAGAATACATTTACTAATACCTTCTCCTTGGTTAAGAGGTTTATGGCTGAAAAATGACAGAATTTAGTGTCTGTATGATTTTTAGGTACAAATTAAACCAAATGTCATCATTTCTCATTTAACATTGCAGATAAATGCCAATATTAATCTCACAGGACTGTTATATATTTATCCAATAGTTAATAAGTATTTTAAAAGCCTTGCTACATACCAGACACTGTTATAAGGATCAAGAGTGTAAGAGAAAGAATTTGATATGCAATAAAAGCTATTACAAGTTATTCTGACTGATTATATGATTTGATTTACTCAATCTAGATGGCCCCTGAAAACTGTATTTAGGAACTATTTTGCAAAATTGTTGTATACCTAATCTTAACAGAAAACAATTACCGACTAAATAAATTCTTAACAGCTGTTTTTTTAACAAAATTGTTAATGAAAGTAAAATGTGCAAAATAAAATAAGTTGGACTCCTTTTATTGTCTCTACCATTTTCTTTACCACAGCCTTAACACAGTGAAGATGATAATAAGAAATGAAGTAGCCCAAGGCAACAAAAAAAGGGGGAAAAACAAAGAGGCTAGATAAACTAACTCTGCATAATCATGAGTTAATTACTCAAGCTGATATCAGTCCCCTGAGGGGCTGCAGCTTTCCACAAAAGCTTAGTCAAATAGAAAAAAGAAAAAGAAAAAAAGTCACTATCCATCTGTCCCAATATGGAAAGCTTCAAATTCTCCAGCTTCCCATCTTCCTCTTTCAATTTCCTTCAAAGTAGGCAGAAAAGTAGAATTGCCAAAGAATCTTTTGGGAAGTCACCTACTCCCTGAATGCAAACTCTGCTTTAGATAGTTTCTTTGCATTACAAAGATATGACAGATATTTCAATGATGAAACAGTGCTTGGTTCCACCAGATATTCTACCATTAGAATAATTTCAAGTGTCAGAGGCTGACTGAAAGGCCATCCTTAAAAATGTGAAAACCAAATAATAGTAATTATGTTAATGATAATTCTCAAAATTGAGAATAATAAACCATACTTCAGCCAACTCTTTTTAAAATGGGAAAGATAGCTAGTTACTTAAGTACTTCTAAACTCCTAAAAAAATAAACATTCACTTGGTATCACAGGCTTAGAATATCTTTAACAGATATTCATTGTTCTGGAAAGGAAAACAAATGAGAAATAGAAAAGTTAGAAAAATAAGTAGCAATATGGCTATAAAAAAAAATATTGGTTTACTTATATTCTCTATCAAAAGCCACTGAAACTTTCTACTTTAGTTTTTGACTAACCATATAATATTAATCTTTTTTCCTTTAAAATGAAGTCTTGAAAAACTACTACTTTTCCATGAAAAACATTCCAGTTAATGATATGGTGAGTGAATATGACTAAATTATATGTCAAAAACAATAATGTGAATCTGGGTTTCTTTTTCTGTAAATTGTTTTGAGTATCAATTAATATATTATGTATCTATCACAGTGCATGGCTCCTGGTGGACTCAATAAATGCTAGTTGCCCCTGCTGCTATTATTTCCACCTACTCATGAACACACCATATGAATTAAATACAAACCTAGCAATATGTTTGGCCTCACATCTGTTTACTCCTACCTTCTGAGGACGATGACCAAAGGTAAGGGAAAGATGGATGAGGAAAACTTTGTAGAGCAGGTCAGCAAAATCAACACACAAAGATCAAAGCTCCTTACAAAAAGGGGGAGGGAATGGAGAGGCTGGAAGAACAGTGATCTGGCTGAAAGGGGGCAGAAAATTTCACCCACTCTAGGTGCTTCTCTGAAGAAGACAAAATAGGGTCAGACAAGGTCATAGGTCAGACAGGAAGGGATTATGAAGACAGGAGAGTGATGGAGGTGGAGAGTTTCTGAAACTTAGCGAACCCCATTTGGGTTTGTGAGGAGGTTTTTTGGGTTCCTTCCTGGGTATCAGTGTTTATTTCTATTTTGAGGCCAGAGAAAAGAACACAAAAAGCTAAAGCAGGAAGCTGTGGGCTTATAACTTAATAGGCTTAACAAAGAAAGGCAGATGAGCAGAAAAGTTGGAAGAGATGAGGTAGAAGTTCTTTCAGAGAGTAAATATTATGTATTAGGCTTGACTGTCTTTTGTGCTTTGTGAACTAAGGAGGATAATGAATCTCAAGCATGTTCTACATTTTTCTTCAAAGATGTTTAACATTTTTCTTGAATGTGTCTTCTTCAAACAACCTTTTTCTTTTTTTTTAGTTCAGTCAAATTTTTATTTAATACATAGATGATGTACCATATCTTGTGCTGAAGATACAAAGAAAATATCCAAACTTCAGTAATTACTATATATTAGTAAATATGAAACATAGTAGTTATCTTTTATTAACCTTTAATTTGTTTTAATTTTTAATTTGTTTTAATTAGTAAGATAACTTACAAAACAAATGGTGCTGAGAAAACTGGAAATCCTATGTAGCAAAATGAAATTAAACCTCTCTCACCATGCACAAAAATCAATTCAAAGTGGATCAAAGCCTTAGGCACTAGAAGAGAGACCATACACCTAACAGAAGAAAAAGTAGGCTCAAATCTTCATCATGTTGGCTTAGGAACTGACTTCCTTAATAAGACTCCTAAAGCACAAGAAGTAAAATTAACAATCAATAAGTAGGATGGATTCAAACTGAAAAGCTTCTTCACAGCAAAGGAAACAATCAATAATATGGAGAGCCTATAGAATGAGAAACAATCCTTACCACATACACCTAAGATAGAGCACTAATTTCCAGGATTATATATAAAGAACTCAAAAAACCTAACACCAAAAAAAAAAATAACTCAATCAATAAATATGCTAAGGAATTGAACAGACACTTCACAGAAGAAGAAATATAATCGATCAACAAATATATGAAAAAATGTTCACTATCTCTAGCAATGAGAAATGCAAATCAAAACTACTATAAGATTTCATCTCATGCCAGTACGAATGGCAATTATCAAGAATACAAGCAATAATTAGTGTTGGCAAGGATGTGGGGGGAAGTATACTCATACATTGCTGGTAGGACTGCAAATTGGTGCAACTGCTCTAGAAAGCAGTATGTGTGAGGCACTGAGTTTGATTCTCAGCACTGCGTATAAATAAATAAATAAACAAACAAATAAATAGGATAGGTCTATTAACAATTAAAAAAAATTTTTTTTAAAAGGGAGTGGGCCAACCATGAACTAAAATTTCTGAAATTGTGGGCCACAATAAACTTACTTTACAAAAATATTAAATTTCATGAAATGAAACAAAATGCTATGGAAATCCTTAAAATAAGCTCTGACATATTCATTCCATAAAGATATGTATGACTAAGGTATAAGCTAAAAGGGAAAATAAATTAATAAGAAAATTTTGGTTTTGTATATGTGAGAACTAAAAAAATGATGATGAGACAACTTTAAAATCATTATATGCATCAAGTGTAAAAATTAAATTTATTAGTGAGGTGACTTCCCTCAACCCGCTGGGGAAAACATGTTGAACTTTCCTTACTGTAAGCCTCAAAGAGAGACCCTGGTGTATGCAAGAAATAAGATAAAGTTGTCATGACTCTAGATTGATAAAAAGGCTTAAATATGTTTCAGAGCTTAAAATAATCAAAGCCCAAATGCAGTTTCCAAAATCAAAGAAGCAGTTAAATAAACTTTCAGCTTCACTAAGATTTCCAACATTACTAGAACCATCTCTGCTACCTACTTCAATTGCAACTTCTGCAGTTCCTAAGCACAGACAGCTGTTTGCACATTTCTCAACCTAGAAACTGCAATCCTTCTCAGAGTGAAAATTGTGACTCAGAGCCAATGTCTTAGGAGAGTTCAGGATGTCCTGATCAACAGAAGTTCGTAACTATGAAGATGGAGGGTACAGAATAATCAGGAGAAAATTCAGGATAAAGGAGAGCAAAATGATTTGGAAAAGGCAATAAACAGACTATTGCTTGTCTTGTTCTCCTTTTGACCCTGAAACATGGAGGAGGTATGAGAAAGATTCAGACATACCATGAACGTCTTGCATACTTCATTATGAAACTCATAATGATACAGACATATATAAAGTGTCTGTTGCAGAATCACGTCGGTTACACATCCACAATTTTACATAATGCCCAATTAGTAATTGTTGTATTCTGCTACCTTTCCTATCCCCTACTATCCCGCCTCCCCTCCCCTCCCATTCTGCAATCTGCATTTGGGGTAAAATTGGGAGTTCATAACCCACTTCAATCTAATGTATGAAATATGATATGTCAAGAGCTTTGTAATGTTGTGAACAACCAATAAAAAAATAAAATTAAAAAAAAAAAAAAAAAGATAAAGTGTCTGTTAAGAAAGAGGCCTAAAGCCAGGTGCAATAGCACAAGCCTGTTATCCCAGCAGCTTGGGAAGCTGAGGCAAGTGAATTTAAGTTCAAAGCCATACTCAGTAACTTAGGCCCTAAGTAACTTAGTGACACCCTGTCTCACAATAAAATATAAAAAGAGCTGGGGATGTGGCTCAGAGTTTAAGAACCCCTGGATTCAATCCAGGGTACAAAAAAAAAAAAAAAAAAGAGGCCTAGTTGTTAAAATTCTGGGATATATATGATTAGGATTAGAGTAAATCCTAATTACACATAAGATTATGCCATTAATTCATTACTTAAGGAACCCAAATCATACATGTCTTTTTATGAGGAGAGATTGCTTAATTTATGCTAATGTCCTAAATTTAACTAAACTACACATTATGTTAAATTGCTTCTATCTAAAGATGTGTGCATGAGAGATAGAGAGAGAGAGAGACAGAGACAGAGATGTATAATGTGATACATATATAAAAGGATAAAGTAATTCAGCTTAGAGGGATCTTTAAGGCTTCTAAGAGAAAGCAGCACAACTAACAGTTAAGTTAGAGTAGGGTTTTAATCCATATGAAAGTGAATAGTCTGGTGAGTTTGGAATATAAAGTACATGGCAATGAAGAGCAGCATAGAGATTTGAAGTGAATTGGACCATGCTAATAAAGTTTGGGCTTTATCCTGGTGGTAATGAGGAGCTATAATAGTTTTTATTTTTCAGGCTTTTATTTTGAAAAAAATTAAGTCAAAACAAAGTAAAATAGGTACCCACCACCTATACTCACCCAAAGCTAACATTTTGCCAAATTTGTTTTCTCTACATGTGTATTTATTTGTAATCTTTTTAATTTTGCTAAAATATTTGAAAATTAGACATCCTGATACTTTACCATTAAATCCTTTGCACATTATCTCCTAAAATTCTTCTGTAGTCACAATAACATTATCATACCCAAGAAATTTAATTCCCATACAATTTATGTGAACTATTATACAGCCTATATTCATATCTTAGCCAATGTGATACTCAATAATTTTCAGATTTTGTAGCATTTTGGATTTTAGATTTTCAGATTAGGGATGCTCAACTGGCAGTCTATTCAAACATCCCAAAATTCAAAAAAACTCTGAAATCTGAAACACTTCTGCTCCCAAGCATATTGCATAAGGAATATTCAACCTGTATTAAGAAAAATTCAATAGCATAGTAAGCTACTAAATCACACAGAAGGTAACTATCATGCAACAATGATAACAGGCCAGGCACACATAGTACACACCTATCATCCCAGGATTTGGGAGACCGAGGCAGGAGGATTGCCAAGTTTGAGATCAACCTCAGTAACTTAGCAAGGCCCAAATCAAAAGACCCTGTCTTAATATAAAAAATAAAAAAGACTGGGGATGTAGCTCAGTGGTAAAGTACCCCTGAGTTCAATCCCTAGTACAAAAAAGACAAAAACTAAAAAAGTTAACAGATTGTGGTTAAAGCCACTAACAAAGTATTATTATTATTCCAAATGCTCTTTTAGAATTGTTGGTTTCAAATAGCATCTAATATGGATAAGGAGTGTGCAGTAAAGAAGAGCCCATTTTTTTGTGTGTGGGGGTGTACCAGGAATTGAATTCAGGGAACTCGACCACTGAGGCACATCCTCAGACCTATTTTGTATTTTATTTAGAGTCAGGGTCTCACTGAGTTGCTTAGCACCTCACTTTTGCTGAGGCTGGCTTTGAACTCAAGATCCTGCTACCTCAGCTTCCCGAGTCGCTGAGATTATATGCATGTGCCACCATGACTGGCAAGAATCCACTTTTTTTTAAGAAAATCAAATCAATGCAACAATGAATAAATTGAAACTATCTTCCTTAAGAGTATTAACTAAAATAAAGATCTCCCAAATTAAGACTCTGATTGGAGGAAAAATGTAATTTTATATTTCCCTTATAGCTTACTAGCCTATATTTACTATGCTAAATAATAAACATTTATAAACTAGTACACACAATAAATTTTAAGACCCTTACAAGAAGTTAGCAACACAATCTCACCTGAGTGAAAATATTATGTGTTTGGCTTAAAATCCATCTGGCATCAGCATCAGGTGCTACTATTAATTTCAAGGTCCCAACGTAAACATCAGAACATAAAGTCCAGAAGTGCTGTTCTTGTAAACTATAAACTCCTTGCAACTGCTGCACCTAAAATACAAAGGGCAGATATCAGCATCAAAATAAAATTTATGTGCCCTCTCCCTTTGGAGTTGTTGTGCAATCTATCAATTAGCATAGATTCTACCCTCTAGTTGAAAAAAGGGGAGGAGGGTATTTGAATTGACAAATACCTATGGTCAAGTACCACACCAATGCAAACATATTATATACCAGATAACACCATAATAGGGGTTTAAGAAATAGAATGAATGAACACATATCAAACTTGTCAAGCATAACTGAGAATACCGACAGGAGAAGTGATAATTTCAAGTACACTGATCAGAAAACAAATACAAATGAGCCAAGAAGCTAGAAAAAGAACAAAACCCAAAGAAATAAGAAGGGAGAAAATAAAGGACAGAAATCAATGATATAGAGATTTTAGAATATGACAAAATTCATAATATAGAAATTAATTCTTTGAAAAGATTAATAAACTAAAGAAATACTTCCAAATGGGACATATATTAAGCAGGACAATTCTTTGGGGTATGTGACTGTCCAAGAGAATACAGGACCTTTACCTCTCTGGGTATCATTGAACAAATTCCAACATGTACCCTTCCTCAAATAATATGACAACACTAAAGAGGGGAAGGAGGATGTCTATGTGAGGGATGTATCCAATAGCTCCCTAGGTTTTCCACAGCCTTAGGTCAAGAACCATACCAATACAAGCTTCTGATGAAGGTAAAAGATAAAATAGAATCAAACAAAATGGAAAATAAAAAAGGTAGATAACTACAAACACACAAAAAAAGAAACTTTAAAATCTACAAACAGGAATCCTATGAATGCCACAGGAATCCTATGAATAATATTGACTATATTAATATATGACTATACAAAATATTACAACCAAGTAGAACCCAAACAATCCTCAATGAGACCTCTACTGGGAGGTCAGCCTAATCCAAATGTAGTCCTAAATAATTATAATAGCTTCTTAACTAGTTTCTCTAATTCTAGCCTTGCACCTCTTCTATCTAATCTCAAAATAGTAGAGCCTGAGTGAGAGTCCACTGGTTTACAGGTCAGATGCTGCCACTCCTCTGTTCAAAATCCTCCAGTGGCTTCCTTTCTACCTCTGCATTAAGCCAATATTTTTATAACTTGTCACCCTTTCACGTTATTCACCTCACTACCACCTCTTCTCCTCTGTCCCTTTTCATCAGCTGCCCCAGCCTCCTCACCATTCTTTAAAAAAAAGCCAGGCACATTTCTGTCTCAGGTTACTTGCTTGCCTCTGCTTGGAATATTCTTCTTAGATTTCTACTTTTTTTGGGTATTGAATCAAATGTCATCTTCTTAGAAATCTTTTCTCTTTTCTTGGGCACGTGACATTACATAGCATTCATCCACTCATTTATTCATCTATATTATAGGTTGAGCATTCCTAATCCAAAAATGCAAAATGTAAAGGATGACAGTAAAAACACAAGTGCACTAAAAATATCATATACAACTACCACCAGGCTATGAATTAAGGTATAATTAATGAATTTCATTAATTATATGGTACCACCTCCAATATATCTCATTATAGATATGCAAATACTCCAAAATCAAAAGAAAAATTTGAAATCTGAAACAATTCTCTTTCAGCATTTCAGTTAAGGAATAATCAGCCTCTATTTATACTGTGTACTGTGTGTCTCTTCCTGTAGACTTTAAGATCAATAAGGTCAGGAATTTATTTTTATTTTGTATTTTCAGTGCTTAAAATACCTGGTACACGTAAAAGTTCAATAGAATATATATTAAATAAATAAAAACACATTATGAAAATGTATACAAAATGGATAAATTTCCAAAAATACTAAAAAAAAAGAAAATGTGAAAGTGAAAGAATCATTGAAAATTGAATTGGTAACAAAATTCTCTTTTAATAAAGCTCTAAACCTGGGGATGGGGAGCAACTTTCAAGAAGATAACCACTTTTTGTTTTTCTAGAAATAGAAAAGAGCTGCTACATTACATTAGTAAAAAATTACTTTGATCCCCAAACCAGATAGACAATAAATCATAAGCTAATTTGCCTTTTGAGTTAAATAACCTAAATCCAACAATATATGAAGAAAGTAACATATCATGACTAGATTGAGTTTATCCCAAGAAAGAAGAATGGTTTCAAATCAGAAACTCTATTATTGTTATTCTTCAATTAATAAACAGAAAAACACACAGTCATTTCAATAAGTGTATTATAATTATAGTACTTAAATTGTTTATGATCCAGAAAAAATTACTAGAATAATTTTGTTTTAATACAGGTTATCTGCCAAAAATGTAAAAAATATTTAAGAATAAAACTTTAGGTGGACTCCTTTGAAGATCAGGAAAAAGACAAAGATGCTACAGCAGCTTAAAAAGAGAAAGGGCTAGGGTGGGGGGTGGGGCTTGGTGGCAGATCATGTGTTTAGTACAGGCAAGATCCTGGGTTCATGTCCCAGAACCTAAGAAAAAGAATAAAAAAGAAAAGAAAAAGAGGCTACTCTGTGAAGGGGTTTACTACCTCTACCTGGAAATAGTCAACAAACTGCATAAATAACTGGGTTTCACAGTGGAGATTTTTGTAAACAGTAGAAGTCTGGATCAAATGAACAACAGATCTTTTCAATTTTCAATTTTATTTTTATGTAATATGTTTGTGAATATTATATACTACATCATACACTTTCTATATCATATACTTAATTGAAAATTTAAGATATTAATTTATAATTAACTATAAAATTAAGAAAAGGCTGATCTTATATCTATCAAAAATATTTTTATCAGAATTTGAGGAATACAGGTATTATATTTTTAGAAACTCCAAGAGAGTTGATGGGAAATTTAAGACAACATCCACTGTGCTCTCTTTGAAAACGGCTTTTACCAGGGAAAGAAATCAAAGGGAATTTTCTCTTCCTCCTTGAGATCTCTGAGGACACAGTGTCTTCAACCTAAGAATTCCTCCACATTGTCCTAAATGGCATCCTCAAGGAGTGGTCTACTATTAGTGAGACAACAATCTTTGATTAGATTTCCTCTTCCTCCATAGAAAAAGCAGTACTCCAGTTATCCTAAAACATACAGTAAGGAATAATTCCTGCGGAAACTAGCTTTTAATGTCCCACTCTTACACTAATTCTGCTCCCAAATCTAAACAACTAATCTTAAATGGTTACACTTCATTTTCCCTATTTCAAAAAACTACTTTATACTATATATTATATTTGTACTATTTTTCATTTTCCTAAAGCATCCAATCTTTTTGTAGGATTACACTGCCTTTTAAATCATAGAAAAACCTGAAGTAACATAGAAAATGTCTTACCCTGTACCACCAAATCTACCAGTCACCTCTTATCTATGTCAGTACCTTCTACCTTCCTCAGGGTATATGGTATTCCTGCTCCTATCTAGAATTAATTCTTTGATCATGTTTTTGGTTCTATCCTTTCACCTGCTCAAGAACTTCATTCTTTTAATAATGTCCTTCATTGATGTATCATCAATTTGTTCCCTTCAGTTGGACTTTTCCAATAACACACATGTTCTAGAACTGTGCTGTGCAATACAAAATATCACTAGTGGCTATTCAAATGAAACAAAGTTAAAATCACATGTGGCTACTTCAATGAAATAAAATTAAATTTAAAAAATTCAGTTATGCTATCCACACTGGACAATGCAGATAATAGAATATTTTCACTGTCAGGGAAAGTTTTCTATAGGATAAAACTGTTCTAAGATATCATATTTTTCAATGAGGAAATACCCGGTCTCCTGGTACTGTATCCATATCCAGCCCATCAACCTTATCAACTCATTTCTCTGCTTCCTTTAACAATACTTCTTAAGAGTTGTCTGTAACCATTGTCTTTACTTCCCTCAAATCAAGCTCTCCCCCTCAACACAACTCTGAAATTGCTCTCATCAAGATCATTAATCTCACATTGCTAAGACAAGCATTACTTCACTGTTCCTAACTGACATGACCACCACAGAAATATTCAACTGTTTATTGTTTCTCCTTCTCCAACTCTGTGGTACTACACCCTTCTGATTTTCCAGCTTCCTTATTAACCTTTCCTGGCTTTTCCACCTGTGCTCCAGATCTAGAGCTGAAAGTGGAACTAAGAGAATAAAATTATATCCTCTACCAGGTAATCTCATGTAATCCTAAATGTTTTTGATGCCATTCATATATTAATGACTTAAACTCTTCCTAACCCTAACCTATTCCCCAAACTCCAAATTTGTTACTTTATGAACGTTTCCCCTAGAAGCATCATGGGCATTTCAAATTTAACATATCCCAAACAGGATTCTTGATTTGGTAAGATTTTCCATCTTCAAACATATATCAATCCAGTCTCAAATCTCAACATTATCATCTACCACACTGTAAGCCAACACTTTTGCCCCACCTTTGCTAGTATAATCCACCTCCAAAAATGTATCACAAATTCATATTTATTTCCTTCTTCATTGCTATGACAGCAGAATAAGCCATCATTTTCCCCCACTTATATGACAATAGATAATAGATTGGTTTTCTTTACTTCCATTCTCCCTAGAATTTGTTCTTTGCATGGAGAAAATAATCTTTTAAGAACATAAGGGTTATGATACTCCCACTACCTCAAAACTTTCCAGTATTTTCCACTGCAGTAAATTCTAAACCTTAGATGACCAAAACCCTGTACAATCTGACCTCTACATTTCTCTCCAACATTTTAAAACACTCTTCCCTTTATTTATTATGCTTCAACCACAAAGGCCTTTTTTTTTCCCTTCTGTTTTTTAAATACACTAAATTAGTCCCAATCATAGCACTTTTGCACTAGTGTTTTCCTTTGCCTAGGAAAAAGTAGAAGTCCGGATCAAATGAACAACAGATCCTTTTCAATTTTAGATTTGATTTTTATGTAATATGTTTGTGAATATTATATACTACATAATATGCTTTTTATATCATATACTTAATTGAAAAATTAAGCATATTAATTTATAATTAATTATAAATTTAAGAAAAGGTGATCTTATATCTATCAAAAATATTTTTATCAGAATTCTTCTCCAGAATTTTCATATGGCTGGTTCCTTCTTGTCTTCTAGGTTTCAGTGACTTTCTCAGTGAATCTAATATAGGCATCCATGTCTATCACATCCCCTCATTCTATTTCTTTTATAGCAATTATCACTGATATTTTCTTATCAACTTATTGCTTAGTGTCTGTTTTTCCTCCACTAGTTATAATGTAAGCTCCATGAGAAAAGAGGCACTGTCTTTTTTACTACTACATTCTCACTATTTTAAAAAAGAACATGATGCTGAGTAGAAGTTAAAAAAAAATATATGAAATAAATGCTTATTTGATCTGCTATTCATATTCTATATTTTAAAAGAGCAGATCAATTTCTGGATGAGAACAATTTCTACCACATTTTCTTTAGTAAAGTTCAATATTTTCCAGTGATTTTATTTATCTGGTTTGTGTAAATGGTATTCATGGTCAGCATTCAGTCTTGGGAGAAATACTAAATTATACACATATGTTGCCCATATTTATGAAAGTTGAAAACCCAAACAGTTTGGAAACAACATAAAATCCAATGGTTTGGAAACTTTGAAACTTACCCTTTGATAGCACTGAGGCAGAGTATTTTCCAACAAGGGAGGAGTTCTCTGCATCAATATTCCAACAGACTCTTTTAAAAGAGGAATAACGCTAAAAAAAAAAAAAAAAAAAAGACAACACGTTTATTTAAGCTACATTCTGACAACTCCATTCTGCAAGACAATAACAACACATTTTCCTATAGTGGAATAGAATCAGAGTTGCCAGAATAACATTAGAAAAAAGAATATAGCAATCAGGAGTTGGGGTTGTGACTCAGTGGTATAGCATTTGCCTAGCATGTGTGAGGCCCTGGTTCGATCCTTAGTACCACATAAAAATAAATAAATAAAATAAAAGTATATACACACACACACACACACACACACAAAAGAATATAGCAATCATTGATCCAATTTTTTCATGTGATCAGTAAGTTGTTATTTAATCTAAAAGAACTTCAGAAAACATATCAATGTATAAGACTAAACTTTAAAAACTAATATTGAATCATCTAAATATCTAAACACAGCATGAGTTCAACCTTCCAAGGTAATCATAGCCTATCAGACTCACTGGTCCTACTAATATTTACAAACATTTATATCCATTTATCTGAATAATATTAATTTAAAAATATTTTTTAAAAATAACATATCAATCCAATATTTCTCAAATATGGCAATTTCTTGGTCATATTTTTTAAAAAAATATAAGACTGGTTATAACCACAGATGCTGCATACTTGGTATATCTAGGGATGGGGCCCACAAACCTGTATGTGTTGAGTTGGTCTTTATCAGAATATGAAACTACTGCTTTAGGAATAAAGCTAAATGTACACAAAACAATTAGTAGCTGCATTAGAGGACAGATCTAATGCGACAACATTCCAACCTAGCTGGACAACAAATTCACCTCACCTTGTTTTGTTTTCATTTCTGACATATGGAACCAGAATTTTTTTTTTTTTTTGGTGAGAAGTACCAGAGATTGAACTTAGGAGGCACTCAACCACTGAGCCATATCCCCAGTCCTATTTTCATTTTATTTAGAGACAGGGTCTCACTGAGTTGCTTAGCACCTCACTTTTGCTGAGGCTGGCTTTGAACTTGTGATCTTCTTGCCTTAGCCTCTGGAGCTAGGCGCCATGCCCAGCCCTGAGCCAAAATTTATAAAGGAAGATCCAGGCACCTATCTGTTTACAAAGTTCTCTAGGTGAGATTCCAATGAGTTACAGTGTTAACACTACGACTTGCAACAGACTGAGAGGTCATTACTAAAGAATAATAAAGGTTAGGTAAATAGCTTAGCTAAGAGTTCACTTTTAAAACATGGAATCTCAAAATGTCAAAGGAAAAACTCTTGAAAACAACTAGAGGAGAAAAAAATCATAAGAACATACATTTTTAAAGGAAGGTCTCATAGAAGAATAGAAGTTAAAGACTACCTTAAGAATTAGTGGTATTTCCTTTTATTTTCTTTTGGGGGGGTGCTGAGGATTGCACTTTCCCACTGAGCTATAATCCCAGCACTTTTTATTTTTCATTTTGAGACAGGATCCAAATAAGATTTATTAATATTTGACAGAAGGTAGGAAAGAGAGGGAACTAATGAAGACTAAAAGATAACTGAGATAATGCTTATCTTGCTCACTAAGACATTCCGAAGGTAGCCCTTGTACAATGCTGGTGATAAAGTAGGCCCAATATAATTGTTGAAAGAATGAAAACAGATAGGAAGTATTTTAGAATAAGAATTAATGAATGGAAAAGGACACAGGAATTGAATTAGGATCTGTTCCCACACATTAAGTACAGTGATAATTACTTGGGTCAAAAGGGTAACAATTAAAAAAAGATCAAATAAAAGAGAATTAAACAGAGAAACAACTGGTATCTACCTGGATGTAGTGAAAGACACAATGAGAGCCATATTAAGGACAAACCTAAGTTATTAAAAGTATGAAGAACAGCAGTAATGAAAGTGAACAACTCAATATGGACAGGAGCTTCAGATACATTTAAGTAAATATTATTTGGTCAATAGTGATTTAAGAGCCAAAAATAATTAGAAGCCACCCTTAATTCCTTCTGCCATTATAACCTCATCCTCTAAATCACTAACCTTTCATGATTTCACAACCTAAATATTTCTTAACTTCATTCTATTATACATGTCTATAATAATCTTCACATCCTTCACTTGAATTATTACAATAGCCTCCTAAGTTTTTTTGACTTCTAATATTATATCAAGTCTACTTGATAGATAGATTCAAAGATGGTTCCCAGTAACACCTGCCTCTGTAATATTCATATTCTTGTGTAATCCTCTCCCCTTGAGTGTGTGTACAGGTAGAGTTGGAACCTAATGACTTGCTATTACTATTGCATTACTATTCATACTAATGAATAAAAAGTGATGTCACTTCTAAAATTACGTTAAAAAAACTCAGACTTCCATTTTACTTACCCTCATCTCTTGCTCTCACTTGCTCCCTCTCAGCTTCAAAGCTGTGAGCAGTCCTACAGAGAGGACCATGGAACAAGAAACTGAGAGATAGCTCTGAAGTAGAACCAAACGCTCATTCCAATAGCATCAAAAGAATAGAATACTATTAGCAAACACTTGAGTGAAGCTGGAATTCTTTCTTAAATGAACCTCAGAGTAATTGCAGTCCTGGCTGACAACTTGATTGCTGCTTTGTATGCTTTGTGAGAAACCCTGAGGCAGAGGTCCTTGAACCTCAGAAACTATAAGATGATAATGTGCATTATTTTGGCTATTAGGTTTTCATATAGTTTGTTATGTATTTGCAAATAACTAAAATGACCATTCCCTATAGAGCTATTAATCTCTCTACGGTCACCTCTTATCAATTCTTTATAAACTCTTCAAATATAAACATACTTGTACTTTACCTAGTGATGTTTCTTACTTTCATTCTTAGGCTAACACTGTATTCTCTGCCTAGTATATCCTTAAATTCCCCTTCAGTCCAGCTTCTATTATTTTTTTACAATCTCAAGTGTCAACACTTTCAGGGTATATTTATTGATCCTAAACTGTCTTCCAGACCATGTGGAATGCCTTCTTGTGATCTTATAATGAAATCTATTATACTTAGGGAATTATTACATTGTACAACAATTATCAGGTTGTTTCCTCCACAGAAATGTGCTCTAAAGTACGGAGTGTGTCTCTTATGTTTCTGTGCCAGCATCTCAGAGTTTTGTATATACATGTGTATGGACCAAGTTGTTCTGGAACAAGAGTCATGAGTATGGGGCCTCAGGCACCAAAGAAGCTCACCTAAAGATACAGCTAGAGAATAGGAGAGTTAGAATAGGAGACTTCAAGTCTTTTTTGAAAAGTCCATGCCCACAAACGTTTATTATATGTGTACTATGTGCCAAGCATGTGCTTGACACAGGAAATAAAAAGATACATAAGACTTTAAAGGAATTCATAATTTAAAACAAAAGTTTATAGAGAAGGTAATGGAAATGAGGCAACAAACACTAATTTAGGACCCACCATTTAGAAGAAAGCATATATGAACTTCAAGTAAAAGGGGAGGAAAAAGGAACAGAAGAAGACATGTGCTCACCTGCAACAGATGGAACACAGAACAGAATGGGCAGTGGTATTACTTAAGCAGTAGGTGTAAATTATCTTTTCAAGCAATTTTTAAAAGTCATTATCTTAAAATACTTGGGTTTAGTCTTAATTTTCCCCCCTAAGGGCTAAAATAAGAAAGTGAATTCAATCTACAATACTCCTTGAATAGATTAGCTTTATTACATTAAAGGTATTCCCTAGACAGTCCCAATCTCTTCACAAGTCACCCAGCACAAACATCTACAGATTAAATCTTTGTTCAGATTTTCATGTGTATATACTATGAGTGTTATCTCCCAATGTCTTCTACCCCCTGCCATCACCTTTGTAGAAAAGAATCCAGTACTTCACTTTCTCTACGAAATTCATTTTCAATAAGGACCCTAATTTGGAGACTCTAGAATTGAGAAAGATGTTACATGATCATGACTAACATATCATTAGAATTAAAAGTGAATTTAGAGATCACTCATCTTAAATACTCAATTAAAGAATCGTAGTACTGACAGCTTTCAATATCCTCACATATGCAAATATATATTACATATGGCATCTGGAAAACAGGGGAGGGAAGGTCACCTAGACTCACCATAAAACCTCAGACAAGTCTGCTTGTCTTAATGATAGTTGACTTGTTCTTGTTTTAAGTGATTGAAGTTCCAAAAAACCCCTCTGGCAAATGCAATTGAGCCCTTAACTACTTCAGACCTCAACTCTCCAAGAACTCATCCACAATCTTATTTTTCTTATCTAACCTATCATAATGTAGATATATAAGACACCATAACTAATATAAAGAAACAAAATAGTGCATTTTTTTAAAGGGTCAATTGTGGTCTTCACTGATCTGGTTAGTCTATAAAATTTGGAATGGCTGCCCTCTTAGGTTGAATTTAAATACAATGTTTATATTCAATAGCAGAAAGTACATCATCAGAGCACATGGATATGTCACACTCATTTTCTCCAGTAGAGATTTAAAACTAATGAAAGCCTTCAGCTGTAGGAGTTATGTAGGTCATGAAACTGGTAAGGAAAAAAAGGTGCTTGCAATTATACAATAATATGTAATTCATTCTACCCCTGGTCAATTTCTACAATAATTGCAAAGGCCCTAAAAATGTAAAAAAACGTGGAGAAACTCTAGTTTTTGACTTTTAAATTGTGTTTAGCTCAGGAGTTTTTATTCATATTTTTCTGATTAACTATCATAACGGGGAATCATAAAACAAATTTTACCATGGATCTATCTAGCCATAATGAAAGGATATGTAGAAAAAGACAAGCTTAGCAAATTCCTAACTGAGCTAAGACTTAGAGCTGTATCCAAACCCAAAAAGTAAGCATTTGGAAACAATTAGAGGTTCACTTCTGGCTGACTAATTCAATTCTAGCTTTCACAATGAAACACTATTTTCCTATCATATATAAAAAGGGATGAGTCATTTGGTATGAGTTTACCAGTGAAACAGGGTAATGATTTTATA